CCGCCGCCGCCTACCCGACCGCGCCGCCGCTGCCTACCCGACCGCGCCACCGCCGGTTAGAATATTTTTTTTCTTTTTTTTTGTCCTCTAAAAATGATGTGCGTCTTATGGTCAGGTGCGTCTTATGGTGCGAAAAATACGGTAGGTTGTTGCACTTCCTGTTGCTAATTCTTTCTCCTCCTCTTGCTGTTTGTAGGAGCTGGTGGGAAGCAATCCTCCACAAAGGAACTGGAAAGGAATTGCAATTGCTCTACTTGTGATTCTGGTTATCTGCTCCTTGATTGTCACTTCTGTTATCTTGCTGACACCAGGTATTTATATAATCTTTGGCTTTTGTTGCTGCTGTTGTTCTAATTTCAGAATCTTCTTAAAGGCATTTTAAAAAGGCAGAGACCTGATTATATTCAGTTGGGCTGAGAGATCAATCTTATCATGAGAATATCTAAGTCCTGTTCTCTTAAGCCCTGTTAATCTTCAATAAAAGGTCGGATTTTCTTTAAAATCTTTCTTTTTCTTTAAAAAAAATAATAATATCAAGAATATACATGCGTATATCGAAGAATCGTAAGTATCCATATCTATATGAAAAGAACTGCTCAAATGAGATAGCAACTGATCTTTCCAGACAGTCCTCAACATATAACCACAATTGGAAAAAGAATTTCAGGCATTAATTGTTGGGGTCATAAATCGAGACACACATATGACCAGCCCCAATTTTTCTGACTGTTTTTACAGTGATCATTAAGCAAATCAAATTAAACTGATCCAATCTCTAAATGGGTGTGTGTTTTCCCCAGAAACTTGCAAAAAAAAAGTTACAATCATGCTCATGTCACTACAGGGCACTGCAACCAGTTGTAAATGCAAGTCAGTTGCCATGCTGAAATGCAGTCATGTGACTACAGGGTAACTTTGTTTGTTTATTTATTAAATTTATTTCACCATAGGAAACTCTGGGCAGCCTTTGTTGACTGAAAGTGCATTGCAGGCCATAAAGCCCTGTTTTTGAGGCCATTATAAGTTCAAATAGTCATTAAATGATTAATCATAAACCAAGGATTGTAACATATGTCTCCCTAAAACATACATCCAAATGAGATCCACTATCACTTAACAGAGCCCTTTAAACTACCTGCCTTTGATTTTTACCTGGAAATTGAGATCTGCTTGTGATTTGCCTTTTGTATACCTACTTTTCTTGTTTCCTTCCCTTCCTTACTAAGATCATCAAGTGCCTTAGCAAACATTTGGTAATTTGTCTGGATCTCCTCTTTCTCACTCATCCAAGGTCCCAAATATCGCCTTAAACGATTCAATTATAGGTCACCCCTCAATTTGAAGATCAATATTAGAAGTAACTGCTCAACCTTAAATGCACTTCCATGCATTTCCAAATCAAAATATTTAAAATCCACGTTCTTGTATCAAATGATTGAAGGAGTGTTATGCCCCTGAGCATATTTCCCATTGTTTATACTTTTACTTGTTATGCAGGCCACACACATCCCTATTTAAAGATGCCATAAACAGTTTCCTTTGAGCCAATTAATGGAGAGGAAAATGGCTTTTCACTTCAGTAGTCCCAAAGTACTTCAGCCACTTAAGATTCAGACATGAAGCCTGCTTTATTTCATTAATAGGCACACAAACTGCAATTTGTACTACATGCTAATGGTTTAGTTCTAAGAGCGATTGCCAACACACTAATCAAAGCGAAGGGAAGGACTATGCAAATCAAAGCAGGACATCACAGCAAGAATGAAAGGGCTATGCAAATTAAATCACAGCACCTATGCAAATGAAGGCATGGTATCAGAGGAGTTACAAATGGGCTATGCCCATGAAAGCACCGAGAGTTTTTGTACACCTGTCAGATGAGGCAGAACCATCTCTACACTAATCTCTTGGCTCATTGGCGACACCTGACAGAGCAAGGAACAAATGAATTATAAACCAGCATATAGGAATCTGTAGATTTTTTTTCAGATGATCTACTACCTCATTAAATCATATCCTATGGAAGGTAAGTTTAAGATGCTTTCTCAAATGACATTTTTGACTCAGACTCATGTTTTCTTTGGCTGACCATAGTCTTGATTGTGGCTTGTCCTCCAGATCCTCAAGGTTATTCTTACAACCAATTACAGGCTTGTACTATTAGACTGATGTAATTCTCCATGGAAGAAACACATAACATCTGGTCTGATCCATTGCTGGCTTTTTCTATATATTTATATTGGGCTTATATAAAGCCTAGAGTGAGGTCAAGCCTTAAATTATTTGACTGTGATATACCAAGTAATAAGACTATTATCACATGCATCTCCTACAATAACTTCAAAGATCCATCTTTCATTATCTGCAAACACAGATCCTTACTTAGTGGCCATAGTTGAGACCAACAATTCCATCGCTAAGCAATACTATCACTAAGTGGTCTGTGACCATGACAGACTTAATGTCCTCACTTTTGTCATGGTCATTAAGAAAGACCTCATATGACTGCCACTTATGATGTTACTGCCAGCTTCTCCAATGACTCTGCTTGTCAAAAGCCAATTGTGAGGCACACAAATGTTCAATGACCATGGGATCCTGCCATGGTCATAAATGCCCACTGGCTATCAGGCAGCCAAATGTCCATGTGTCTGCAGGGTTGCTGGGACAGTCATAAATACAAAGACAAGTTGTAACATTGCTTTATTAGTGTGGTCGTGACTTCGGTTATTAAAGAAGGCAATCATTAAGCAAGGTCTACTTAGGAGAGCTCATACACTGGAATATTTAGGTACTTTAACCTCAATGATATTGTCAGCCCATTAGGTAAACCAGACAAGAAATCAACTCCACAGGAAGGCTAAAACTACGGTACTTTATTGAGATTGCCTATAAAACAGAACCTTGCAAATGTGATTGTTCTGTGCATTCTGCTTCTTATAGTTCATGAATCAGGGAAATGTCTTTTCTGAAGGATAGCTGGACATCCTAAACTTTAAAAATGTTTCAGCCCCTTTTGCTTAGGTTAGGGTTCCTGCATATCTCTCTAAAAGTAATTTCTCCTTACTGCCCAGGAATTCATTAATATCCCCTATCCAGACACTAAAATTGCCTTGAACCATGAGATGGGCAGTGTATAAATTTAATAAATATAAAACCGAGCCAGTTGCAAATGTTCTCTTGAAAAGCACCATTAGAACAATTAGCACCAGTTAGAACAATTAACCCATGGAACAACCTGCCTCCAGAAGTGGTGAATGCTCCAACACTGGAAGTATTTAAGAAGAGACTGGACAGCCATTTGTCTGAAATGGTGTAAGGTTCCTGCCTGAGCAGGGGGTTGGACTCGATGACCTCCAAGGTCCCTTCCAACATCATCATCATCATCATTATTATTATTATTATTATTATTATTATTATTATTATTATTATTATTATTATTATTACTACTACTACTACTACTACTACTACTACTACTACTACTACTATTATTATTATTATTATTATTATTATTATTATTATTATTATTATTATCTGCAAAGGACAAAGTTCATCCAATGCTAGGACAAGTCCCAGGAAGCAATGATGTATTTCCAATGAAATAGCCAAAGTGTCTTCTTGGAAAATAGCTAAATTTGGTGCCATAGCAATGACAATAAGCAGTGGTAGGTCTGAACACAATACAGATACAATTAGCTCCTGCTGTGAATAAGCTATTTCATCCAAAATCATTTGTGTTTTAACTCTATTTTTTTCTATCCTTTTGGTCTATGATTATAAATTCTTTAATAAATGGAAATACATGCTTATCTAGGAGACCTAAACCAAAATCCTTCCTAAATTAGAACTGGGCCATTTCTTTATAGCAGTGTTTCTAAATTTCAGCAATTTAATAAGTATAGATTTCAACTCCCATAATTCCTCAATTGGTATATTGGGGAATTCTGGAAAGTGAAGTCCACATATTTTAGAGCTGCTGAGATTGAAAAACACTATTTTATTGGACTCAGATGAATACAAGAATGTATGGAGGCTTTGTAACTCTCCAGAAACTTGTTCAGGAATACATGATAGAAAAAGGGGGAAAATAACAGAAAGAGATGGAGATGGAGAAGGAATAGGAATTAACAGTCTTAGGTTGGACATATAAAAGTCTTGCTGCCCCTAAACTGACTAAATTTGGTCTATTACAGCCATCTTATAAAATTACAGAACTTTTGCTTTGTTGTAAAAAAAATGAATATTTTATTTATTTAATGAACATTTTATTTATATTCATTTGTTGTATATGTCTATGGAGATTCTCAGTCATGGTTGTCTAAAAAGCACTTTTTCAAAGGCAACTGGACTTTGTTTTTCCATGGAGACGTTTTGTTTCTCATCCAAGAAGCTTCTTCAGTTCTGACTGGACTGAACTGAAGAAGCTTCTTAGATGAGAAGTGAAACGTCTTCAAGGAAAAACAAAGTCCAGTTGCTTTTGAAAAAGCATTTTTGGGATATTAATTTTCTATTCCTTTGGATTTTTATGACTAAATCCAACCAGACACAGAGCAAGTTACATAATCACAATTCAAATATCCCCAGTAGAACTTAAAATGAAGCAAATAAATGTCCATTGTAGGTAACACACATTAAAGAAGACCCTTGCTAACAATTAAAATCCACAATAAATGATACTATAAGTAGAAATATTAATATTCTATAAACAACCCCTTACCTCATCTTTATAACTGCATATCAATTATGTACAAAATGATATTCTATTCTCAAAAGACTTTTGCAACAGTTGGGTCCAAACACATGTAGTGACAGTCACCGGCCTCAAAATAACAGATGCAATCATTTTTAAATCCATTTTTAATCATAAAATATATAACTATGGAAGGCAAAATTTCTGATTTTCAATATGACCATTTCTATATTGTGGCTTTTAGGTCTATCAAAAAGTTTTAGAGCTAAAGTCAATGAAGATTCTCAGTCATCCAGGTAGAATTGAGGTAATTCTATTGGGGAAGAAACCCTGAGGTTGAAATACCCCTAAGAATTTTGGGAGTTGGTACATTCCAACGGCTCCCTGCCTATTCAGATTCCCCTCACCAACTTGCTCAGACCAAAGAAAAGCTGCTTGGATGGGCAGCAAAAAGTCTCAAACCAACAAGAAAATAAGCCCAGTTGGCATGACTAAATTTCCAGACAATTCTAGAGCTAGAGTTTAGTCTTCTATTATCATTGTTTTAAGACTAATTCAGATCTGACCTGTGGAAATATGACATTTGTTTTATGCAAAATGATTTTATAAGATGTTGCAAAACTACTGATTTTATTTTTATGGTTTCACAGATGCCCCTTATATTCATTCTGCCCTATTTTCACTCAATAATAATAATAATAATAAAGTTGGAAGGGACCTTGGAGGTCATCAAGTCCAACCCCCTGCTCAGGCAGGTAACCCTATACAAATGGCGGTCCAGTCTCTTCTTAAAAACTTCCAGTGTTGGAGCATTCACCGCTTCTGGAGGCAGGTTGTTCCACTGGTTAATTGTTCTCACTGTCAGGAAGTTTCTCCTTAGTTCTAGGTTGCTTCTCTCCTTGATTAGTTTCCACCCGTTGCTTCTTGTCCTGCCTTCAGGCGCTTTGGAGAATAGCTTGACTCCCTCTTCTCTGTGGCAGCCCCTGAGATATTGGAACACTGCTATCATGTCCCCCCTCGTCCTTCTCTTCATTAAACTAGACATACCCAATTCCAGCAACCTTTCCTTATATGTTTTAGCCTCCAGTCCCCTAATCATCTTTGTTGCTCTTCTCTGTACTCTTTCTAGAGTCTCAACATCTTTTTTACATCGTGGTGACCAAAACTGGATGCAGTATTCCAAGTGTGGCCTTACCAAGGCATTGTAAAGTGGTATTAATACTTCACGTGATCTTGATTCTATCCCTCTGTTAATGCAGNATATGTTTTAGCCTCCAGTCCCCTAATCATCTTTGTTGCTCTTCTCTGTACTCTTTCTAGAGTCTCAACATCTTTTTTACATCGTGGTGACCAAAACTGGATGCAGTATTCCAAGTGTGGCCTTACCAAGGCATTGTAAAGTGGTATTAATACTTCACGTGATCTTGATTCTATCCCTCTGTTAATGCAGCCTAGCACTCTGTTGGCTTTTTTGGCAGCTGCAGCTGAATGTTGTAAAGTTGTCTTGTGCTGGTTTGGTGGCAAAACACTTTCACTGACATCTTAATTGAGCCTTCTATATTGTGCTAATAAGTGCAATCCCGGCTTTTCTTCATACATTCCAAGTTGCAAATGGAAAAGATCTCTGCCAATTAGATCAATGATAATGCAATAAGGAGCTCTAACAAATCCCCATGTACATCTATGCAACATTGCTAATTCAGAAGGAAAATGGATAACTGGTCTCATTTGTTGAATGGGCAGGTAAATTGCAAATTAAACATAATGGATATTTCCCCCCTCTTGATTTACAGTTGAAGATAATAGTCAGTCTCAGAAGAAGAAAATTACAGTGGAAGATCTATTCAGCGAAGATTTCAAAATTCATGATCCAGAGGCTAAATGGATAAGTGGTAAGTCTTGCAATCACATATAAAAATAACTTCCTACACCATTTGTTTCAAGCACTTCTCTTGCCTGTGGTGTTTCACTGTATTTTTCAGCTGAGCAAAATTGTATAAAGAGATTCTGTATAAGTCAAACCTTTTTATCCAGTGAGCATAGTGATACCACAACTGGCAACATCTTCCCAATATTATGAAGCACAGCACACCCTTTGGGCTTTATAAATAATATGTCGCAAAGAGCTGAACTAGAAAACTTTATTTAATTTTTTTAAAAAGGCTATGCCTATTCTAGAGTAATACATTGAAAATGAAATATTCCATAGTTTAGTAGAAGCTAAACATTACTACAGTGAAACTAAGAAGTGTAAAAGCTTGTTATCTAGGTTTAACTGCAAAATGTCGAAGCAAAAAGGTTTTAATCTGGTGTCAAAAAGAGTATTATAATCAGAGTATGTCTCATAGGAACATATACCAAAGTATACATTGCAGAAACAGGGGCTGTTTTTGATTTGTTGATAGAACTGCTTTGGGGCTTGAGCTATTGGACAGAATTGTGAAGTTAAAACAAGAAAACTACCCAGAATTCCTTACAAGGACAGGAGACACAAAGTGGATAACATGAAACAGAATAAGAGACAGATTTGGATTATAGAATCTCCTCCTCCTCCTCCTCCTCCTCCTCCTCCTCCTC